CTCCCACCCACCCCCCACAAAAAAGGAAAGAAAACCCTTGGGGGCGCAGGCACACCCCTAAAACTCAGAAAACTCCTTGCCACACTTCTCACTGATGGAGACTCGGATCTCTTCCTCTTCATAGTCATCAAAGTTACTCGTGTCCCCAGGGCCTTTAAACTTTGGTATGAAGGGAGCTTCCACCTGGAGAGGGGTCAAGAATCACCCAGACCTCAGCAGTCAACATAATCCTTGTTAAAACAATAAATACGAATGGCCTAACATTCATGAGATAACTTATTTGGACACAGGCCAGAGCTTAGTATTAGGGTGTGGACTCACCTTAGCAACCTAAGAATCTTTTTATAGCCAGCTCACAAACTGGGAAACCACTTTCCAGAGAGGGGTATCTCCTGCCCAAAGTCAGAGTTGCCAAGTGACCCTATAATCCCATTTTTAGACCTCCATTGATCTAAACTGCCTCAGCTAGAATGACCCAGGGCCCATGGCCTATTTTCAAATTCTTTTTCCCTTTCCATCTCTCCAATGTCACCCCTCCCTGGCTCTTGGCCTGCTCCCAAAGCCCTCTGCATACCCGGGGAGAGGAGGGGACACTCACCTTCCTCTGGTAGATGGCAATCCAGTCAGTCGTGGCAAACCACTTGTGGTTCTTAATGTCATTGACTCCATTCTTGAGGTTCCCGAAGCGCTTGGTAAGGTCCACCTGCAGGAGGTTCCGCAGCAGATCCTTCAGGTCAGAGCTGAAGTGGGATGGGAACCGCACCTGGGGGTAGGGGTAGGGGAGACCAGACAGGGTGGGAAACTGACCTGGAGCTTGGGGACCCCAGAACACTGCCTTTGCCATCCAACAGTCCTGTGAGGCAGAGGACCAACTTGAGTATGTTGGAATCCCATAAAAACAGTTAATCAGGCCTGCTGGAGTTTCTGATTCAGTCTGGGTTGGGGCATAAAAGTATGCATTTCTAGCTAGATCCCTGGCCATGATGATGGTGCTGGAGAGGGGACCACTTTGAGAACTGCTGCTCCAAGTGTTATGATGGTTCCCATTTTAGAGAAGAAACTTAGGCTTGGAAGGCTTAAACAACTTGCCCAAGGTCATACAGAGGAGTAGGACAGGGTGGCTCCATTTTGGGTCTATTAGACTCCAGCACTTGCATTTTTAGCCATTACTTCCTAAGGTGGCTCTGCTCAGGTCCTGGGACTTCAGAAATATCCACTCTTATGAGAGAAACAATTGTTTTTCTAGTTCTCACTCTGCATAAGGCTCTTCCATTCTTTAAGGCTCAGTTCAAATCTTCGAGAAACTTTCCCCACATGTTCTGAACCCATGGCCTAGTATGCAACTATTCATTGAATTTATAACTACAAGAACCAATTTGCAGCACTGCTCTGCCTCTTACAGGCTGTGACCTTGGCCATGGCCTTTAACCTCTCTGGGCCTGTGCCTGCCTTTCTTGCACGGGGCAGATATCCCAGGGTTGCATGAGGGAGATAATACTGCTGCGGGTGCGTGGGAACTGTGAAATGCTACAAAGAAGGGAGTTATGCTCTTCTCCTCTTCCCCCTGGGAACCTTCTATGGCTTTTTCTTTGTTCCCCTCTTTGGGCCATTCTCTTGGCAATTTCTATTGTGCCTGGTGGCAGACACCTCATCTTTCCCTGTTTCGTGACCCCACTTTGCAGTTGGTGATTTCTTTCAACTTCCCTGAGAGGCAGCTGGCTGGTTCCTCAGTTCTCAGGTGGGTAAGATGAGGGTCAGAGGCGAAAGGCACTTGCCCAAGGTTTCAAAGCCAAGGGGTGGCAGAGCTGGGACCTGAAGACGTGTCAACCCACCCAGGCTGACCTGGGAGTTGCTTCTAGCAATTCCTGGTCCGGGTGGAGGGATGGTTGGGTCCTCCCAGAGAGATGGGTGAGCTGAATACAAAAGTGGGGTTCCCAGACGCTGTTGGGCCCTTGGATCTTGGACCAGACATATCCCCTCTCCATGCCTCAGCTTCCTCAGTCCCTCAGAGTGCTGAGTAGGATGCAATGACTGCATTGGGGCAGTGGGTGCTTAATGCACTCTGTAGATCCTAACTCTAACAGCTCCCTTACCTGCACCCTCTGAGTTAGGAACTCTGCATTTGAGAAGGGAGGTATGGGCCATACACCCCAAATGACTGTCCAGTCAAGTCTGGGTACCAAATACATTAGCTTTTCTGCTGTGAAACTTGTGAAAAATCACACTAATGGGGAAATTAGGGGCAAGTAGTCTCACATAGGGCAGACGGGAGTACGGGTGAGGCTTGGGGTTTTGGAAGTCCTTGGGAGGTTGGCACTGTGGGTCCAGGAATAGCCAGTGAGGTGGTATGGGGTGTTGACCTCAGTTAGCATGGCTGATGCACCCAGCTTCACTGCCTGGCCTTATTTAATGAACTTCTAAATTGTTCTGACAATGATGGTGGGTGCGGAAGGGTTTGTCCTGGGTGGAGTCCCTGCATCCAGGCCTCACCTTCCCAGAAACAATCTTCTCATAGATCTGAATAGGCTGGTCAGCAAAGAAGGGTGGGTAGCCAGCAGCCATCTCGTAGATGAGAACCCCCAGGGCCCACCAGTCCACAGCCTTGTTGTAGCCCTGGAGCGAGAAGGGGGTGCAGGATGAGGGGAGAAGGGTAAGGAAGGGGCATAGGTGGAGCAGGCCTCAAGGGCAGTAGGAGGGGTGGGGAGGCACCTACTTTGCTCAGGATAATCTCAGGAGCCAGGTACTCGGGGGTCCCGCACAAAGTCCAGGTGCGGCCTTTCACACGCTTGGCAAAACCAAAGTCTGTCACCTGTGGGCAAAAGAGTGGGGTTGGTCGAGAGTGAGGGAGAGATGGTCCAGGCCACGGCCACCTGGGGCTGTCCCTTGCCTGGCCCAGCGGGTACCTGAATGTAGCCCTGCTGGTCGATGAGAAGGTTCTCCGGCTTTAGGTCCCGGTAGATGAGATCAAGCGAGTGCAGGTACTCGAAGGTCAGGACGATCTGTGCAGCGTAGAAGCGGGCATGGGGCTCGCTGACAATGACAAGTGGAAGAGGGGATGGATGAGCGTGGGTGGCCACACCCAGCAGGACCCACTTGCCCCCAAATGGTCTAGTGGGTGGGCCTACAGAGTGGCCTCCAGCCCAGTTATCCAAAATGTGTAAGAGGAGCTGTCTTATTCATATAGAGCTCCAAACTGGAAAGAGCCCAGCTGTCCATCAACAGAGGACTGGCATCACAGACTGTGACAGATGCATACAATGGAGTCCTACCCAATACCACCACCAGGACAAATGACGAATATGCTCAAAACCATGGCTATATCTCAAAACAATTATGTGAAGAGAGAAGAAAAGGACAAAGGAATATGAACTGTGTGATACCATTTATATCAAGTCCAAACCTAGACCAAACACATTTTATGGTGTTTAAAGCCAGAAGGGACAATTGCCTTTTTCTGGGTGGGGATCTGCCAAGAAAGGCATTCGAGGGAATTCTCTGAGGTGATGAAATGCTCAATATGGTGTTTTGGGTAGTGGTTACGCAAATGTATGCAACTGTCAAAACTCATGGAACATTAAAGACCTGTGCATTTTATTGTATGTAAAGTGTGTAGCTATGTGAATAAACAAAATAAAACAATAGCATAAATTTAAAAACTATAAAATCGCCAACTTAAATGGTGATACCTAAGTTACTGTTTGTTTTGTTTCATGGTGGTTGAGACATTTCAGGTTTCTCAGCTGAGGGGGAACAAGAACCCACAGGGACCTGGAGAGGCCACCTCCACATCCTCACATGGCTTGGTCATGTGACATCACCTATGGACACTCTCAGGCCTGGCATGGCTGGGAGCAGTTCACTCACCTGAACCTCCCGATCCGCCGCAGGTGTGAGAACATTTCCCCGCCAGGCACATACTCCATGATCATGTATAAATTTGAGTTGTCCTGTGGGGAGCAGCAGCTCATCAGGGCCCTGCTCCCTGAGCCCTGTGCCCCACCCGAAGGCCTGGTGCCCTCAACCAGCAGGAGTTCAGAAAGAAGGTGACAACACAAATCTAGGCTCCTATATGAAGCACATAGCAAGTACCAAGCACTCTGTTCACTGAGCTACCTGTTTCATTTCCCTCTGTCCATGAGGAAAAAGAGAGCCATTATCTTGCTATGGGGGATGGGGTGGTGAAAGGGAGGGCCGGCTATAGGTGCCTGGTCTGGAGAGGGGACTCCACAGCAGCTTATGTCTGTGACTGTCCTGAGCAAGGCTCTTGGGCCATAGTTTTGTCATCTGTAAAATGGAACCAGGATAGGCTACAGAATTTGTACTCCACCCCTCCACCCCCCCCACAAACAAGTGTGAGTCTCCTTCCTTACTCAAAAAATAATTATGAATTTCAAGATGGCAGCATTAGAGCATGACACCAAGCACAGGCCCTTGTAACTACCTGGGTGGTAGGCCTCAAGTGGACTTTCCCAATTCTCGAAGCCCAGCTTAGGATGGCACCCAAAATAGTTCACATAGGGTGCTCATGATGTGTTTGGAATTCTCATGGCAACTTTTTGATGTCCAGTTTACAGATGAGGAAACTGCACCTCAGGGCAGTGAAGTCCCTTGCCAGGGTCACAGGGGCAGGGGTTGCTGAGTTGGGATTTGAACCCAGGCTGTATGTCAGGTTTTTGTAAACAGAGCAGTGATTTTGAGGGGTGTCATCCAGGTTGAGTGACATGACCACCCTAGGTTATCAAGTAGACAGGCCCAGGAGTTGAAGTTGGGTGTATTAGAGCCCCAGGCTAACCCTCGACCTTCCCCATCAGTGGGTGGGCCCACCTTCTTGGGTAGCCACGGATTGTCCTCAGCCCCTAGGCATGGTTTCCCTCTGCCCCCTCTATTCCCCGACGGCTTGGACCCTCCACGGTGAGCCCGGCCCCACCTTGAAGGAGAATTCAAGTCTGACAAGGAACGGAAAGTTGACAGCCTGCAGGATGCGCTTCTCATTCAGGGTGTGCTCGATCTGTTTCAGCTTCACCACCTGGGAGCGGAAGGGGGTGGAGAGGAGGAGGTATGAGAGGGCCCTCATCCCTCTGGTGCCCAGAAGTAGGGGGTGCCAGGGCCGGGCTGGTTCCTGTGAGTGCTTGTGGCCTGTGGAGCCCTAGGTGGGGTGCTGAGAACACAACAAGAAGGCTGAGGCTGCCTGTCCCCATGTGGCATGCAGTTGAGAACAAGAACATGAGTCACCAGGCCTCTTAGCACAGAGGGATCAGAGCCATGATAGAGGAAGCTCAGGGCCTGCGGATGCCCAGATGAGGAGTAAGGAAAAGTCTGGGACAGAGGTAGTCAGAGAAGGCTTCTTGGAGGAAGGGGCAGTGGAGCTGAACATGAAAAGACAAGCAAGAGTAGTGCCCAAGGAATAGGGGGTTTACAAAAGACTTCTCTGTATCTAGAGCACCCCAACACACCCACTTGAACCCCAGGCTAATTTCTCCTCAGCCCTCAGCTATCCCCAGCAAGTACCACATGTGTAGTGATGGGAGCCCTGAGGGGTATGTACTGTGAACATACCACTTTGAAAGCCCAGAGAGGGAATAAAGACTTGCCTAAGGTCATAAGCAACTAGTCAATGGCCAGCTGGTATGTGACACACAGGCTCAGTCAGCTCTGAACCCCTGTGCTGGGGCCTTTTCTGTTTTGCTCATAGCTGTATCTTCTGAGTCTACACCTGCACTGCCCAATACTGTCCATGCTAGCCACATATGGCCGCTGAGCGCTTAAATGTGGCCTGGAGGCTGGGGAACCGAGTTTAAGATGTTAAATATTTAAAGTGAAAATTTAAAAACTGACTCTTGACAGTTACTGGACAACTTTTAATCCTGTCTGGAACAACCTGGGCTATGCTGATCTGCTTTTCCAACTTCTCTACTTTTTCTTTTCTTTCCAGTAAAAATTTAACATCAGAATGGAGATATGTTGTAAGCGTAAAATGCACACCTGATTTTGAAGACCTGGTATGAAAAAAAGAATGTAAAATGCCTCCTTAATGATAATTTACATTGGTTACATATATTGAAATGATAGTATTGTAGATATACTGGCTTAATTACAACATATTGTTAAAGTGCATTTCACCTGTTTCTTTTATTTAATGGGGCTTCTAGAAAACTTAAAATCACACGTGTGGCTTCTGTGACATTTCTACTAGACAGCACTGCTTTAGAGTAGTGCTTGGCATAAGCAGGGTGTCAGAAATATTTACAGAAAGCAGGCCTGTGTAAATGTCACCTCCCCCAGGAAGACCTCTGGCTTCCTGGAATACAGGTTAGATGTCTGACTCTGTGCCCAGTGCCTGATTTCCCTCAGTGGTCAGCCTGGAAGGGAACTTCATGAAGGCAGCATGGTACCCTTCTGGCACTCAGGTCTGGCACATGATAGGGGCTCAAGAAGTAGTTGGTGAGTAGATGGATGGGATGAGCACTCGAGGCAGCAGGTGGGACCCAGGAGCAGGGCAGAACTGCGCTCACCTTTTGTTTGTCCAGGATCTTCATGGCAAAGTGGTTCCCGGTCTCCTTGTGTTTCACCAGCATCACTCGCCCAAAGGAGCCCGTGCCGAGGGTCTTGATTCGTTCAAACTGATCCAAATTGGCCGTATTCTGTGGGTGGAGGGGTTGGGAGAGTCAGGGACCCCCTTCCCTGTGGCCTGCTGGGCCAGGGTCTGGGGCATCACCTCTACCACTAGCAGAGGGGGCCCTGGGGAGCAGGAGTAGTAATGGGGTGAGGACAGGAGGTGGAAAAACAAGATGGCAGAGGGCATATTCCTTGAGGCAAGTGGCAGGGGCCAGATCTGCCCCTGGCCTGGGGCCCAGGAGCTGCTGGCAGCTGTGTGGGGGGCAGGGGCCACCAGTTATAGGGGGTGGTAGGGTGGGGGAGTATGGCAGTGGGCAATCAGGTGCTTCTGCCTAGGAGCCTCCATGCGTGTCCAGGCACCCTCCACAGGGCTCTAAATGCTAGCCAGGTCACAGGGATAAAGCTGGAAGACAGGGGGCCATCAGCTTACCCCCTCCAAGGGCTCTGTACTGGGGGGGAGGGGCTTACCTGAGCAGGATTTTCCCATTTTTTAAGAAAATCTTCTTTGGCTTTGGCTAAGAACTCTTTCACTGGAAGGAAGAGAAGGGAGAGTTAGATGGATACCCCATCTCACTGAGATAGGCCCAGGATATTCCTGGGGAGATGCCCATTTGTGGAAAGTGGGGTGCAGCTGTTTTAATCAGAGTCTAATCTTTATTTTCCCCAGGGCCTTTGGGTGCCCTGACTGAGTCTCAGGGCACCTTGCAGGGATCCTGATCTGGTGTGGGGCCTGGGCCCCCTTTACTACAGAGAGGTGGGATCCAGCCTTAGCTCTTCCAAAATGGGGTACAGGGCAACTTGGGGGTCACTCTCAGGGGGACAGAGGGCAACACCCAGGCCAGCCCACCCCCACTTGCCCCAGTTCTGACTGACATTCCATGGCCAGGGATGTCGCCAGCTGAGGTATTTATAGCCTCAGGATTTGGCTGTTCCTCAGGCCCCTTCTCTGGGGAGGCCGGTCCGGGGTGGAGGCCTCTGGAGCTCGGGTAGCAGGCGCCCTTGGGGGGCTCAGCTGTTGCCTTGGTCCCCAGCTGGCCCTGTTCCTGCCTTTGCCAATTCAGGGGCCCTTGCTCCAGAGCTGGTTCAAGGGAGGCCTCGCTCAATGCCCTCTACCCAGTAGCCCCTCAGTACCCCAAGAAGAATATCACCATCCAGCTAATACTAAAGATTTTCCAGGGGGCAGACCTTGGGCCTGCTGTGTGGTCTCCACTATCTCATTTGGTTAGCTCACCAACTTTCCTTTTATCCTTTCCCCCATTTAACACTCTAGGAAACTGAGGCTTGAAAAGAGTCATTCTTGCCAGCGCCCTGAGGCAGCTCAGCAAAAGAGTTAAGGGCCAGTACTCTGGAACTGAGATCAAGCTCAGATCTCAGCCTGGTCCCTGCTAAGCTGTATGAGTGGGCAACTGACCTTACCTCTCTGGGCCTCAGTTTTCCTCATCTGTAAAATGGGGATAATAATAGTAATGACCTAGCAGGGTGGCTGCGAGGACTGAATGAGTTAATCTTGGTAAATGGAGTTGGACAGGGACGTGAGGCATGAGGTTCATTCCATGTAACTGTTCATTATTAATTTTGCTTTTAAGTATTTTTAAAAATTGAGATATAAAATACAGGGGATGCATAGAATGCTCAGATCTTAAATGTGAGGCCTGACAGATTTGTACATTATTGACCTGTCCTAGAAACTATCCCCTGGGTCAGGCATGCTGTTGTTCAGGGACCCTATCCTGTCTGTGTGCCAGCCCTGTGCTGAACGCTTTTTATGCTTAAGTCCTACCCTGATGGCTCAGAGCTGCTATTATTCTCATTGCACAGAAGAGAAGACTGAACAGGCCTGAGGTCACCTGCCAGACTCTATGCTCACAAAATTAACTGCTTCCCTCCTGACAGGTCATAGTGCACTAGGGTGGCCCACTAACAGACTTGTCCTCGACCCCCTGATGTTCCTGGATGGTTGCCACCCTGAGGAGTCCTGCACAATTGTACTTTGGCCTTGCCTGTCATCTCTGTGTTCCACCTATATGCAGTATCAGGAGTCCCACATGGTCTTTGGGTAGCCACCACTCCCCCACTGTCCCCAAGGTTGTCCCTCAGCATTTGGACAGAAGAGCCTTCCATGGGGATACAAGAGTAGCAGACAGAGGAGAGACCATTGGTCAGGAAAGCCTTACAAAGAGTGACTGGGCAGACAGAGGGCAGTCAATGAATGGCCAGGAGTCCTAGGCTGGTGCCTGCTAAGCCACCAACTGTCTGAGAGACCTCTCTGAATCTGGGGGCAGCACCACATGCAATGCTTTCACTAGAATAATCTTTTCTGACACACACTACCTTCCTTCGACACCGCCAGTGTATACATTAAATTCTGAATGAAGGTGGGGGAGATGGTACCCTCTTGGAACTCTACCTTCACCTACCCAGGAAGGAAGGGAGAAGTGGGCTTGTGAGGAATCCAGAATGCCTGTCCCGCTTCCCCTTTCACTCTCAGTGATCCCTAAGAACTGCCATGTCCTACTTTTCTGACTTGGGTACCTCACTGAGAGGCTCCACAGGGTGCCTTGGTTCTAGCACAGCCCTTCTCTGTCCCCTCTGGTGCCACTGGCTTGCCAGATTTGGGGATGGGGCACAAGGGAGGGGCAGTGCTAGGAGGAACAGGCAGATAAAGAGGAATAATAATGGGGGGACCCCCAGCCAGCAGCCCCCATACTCACCTCTGCTTCCTGCCTCCTCCAGCAGAGGATGCAATGGGGGTGGAGTGGGATGGGGTGATCTGGGGCCCATCTGCCCCTGACCAAGGAGGCTCAGGGTGCTGGTTGCAGCTTAGGTGCCCAGAGGGCATGGCGCAGGTAGCTCAGGAAACGAATAGTCAGGTGTGCCCAGAGGAGTAGCTGCAGCCATAGCTGAAAGGTGGTCTCTGAGTCCCCACCCTGGCCATTGCCTGAACCCAAATCCATCCCAGGCTACCCTGGGAACCAGGGGAACCAGGAATATGCAGAGCTTCTGAGCTGGCTTTCTTAGCTGGCCTCGGGGGACCCTGGAGGAGCTGGTTGCCAGGGAAGCGTTTAAAGGTACCTGCTACTGGTTGGCCAAGGTTTGCAAAGGCCCGCCTTGGTAGGAGGCAGGGGGACAATTCTCCCCAGAATGATCCTCCTGGCTGGCCTGCCCCAGAGATGGGGTGCTAAAGCTAACTTCCCATTGCAGGGGCTTCACTGATTCCAGGATACCAGACCCTGCCTTCCCCAGTGGGTGGACTTCCCAGAGGATGGTACTCAATGTACTCAGGGCAGTGCCCACTGGGCAGAGGAGAAGGAATTAAGGGCTTAGGCCCAGGCAGCAGCCGGGGACTCCCTGGGAGCCAAAGAGGCCCCAGAACTCCATTAATTAGCAGAAAGAGTAGCTGGAGATAAAGGCAGGGGGTGGGAGAGTGGGGGTGCGAGAGCCACCCTATCACCTCCCCAAATCCTGCTACCCCAAGAGAGAAATGGGTACATCTGGCTTTCTCTTGTTCCTGTGCAAGAGCAGAGAGTGGAACGGCATCCTGGGATGTCCTTGGCCTCTGTCAAACCTTGCCCTGTGCTTGGCTCTGCTCTAGGCCATGAAAGTCCAAACCGGAAACGAAAGACTAAACCCAGGGGTGGGGGAAGGGGACACTGCCTTGACCACCTTCCTCCTTCTTTCCAGATCCCAAAAGAAGTGGAGGGTCAGTGGCAGCTCCTCCCAGAATGCCTTGCACCTGTGGCCCTTCTGACAACTGGTAGTGGCAGAGAAGGGAAACCTAGCCAGCTGCTGACTTGTGAAACCTGCCGCCCTGCCCATGTCTTCTACAGGGATGGGAGGTGGAGGGGGGGTAGGGTGTGTGTGTGTCAGCCTCCATCCTAGTCTGGATTCTATTTGGGCTCATAAAGAGACCCCAGATAGCCTTCGAAAAGCCAGTACTACAGCAGGAAGCAGGAGCCCAGTCTTGAACTTCCCAGACAAATAGTACTCTCTGCTCACCAAAACCTGGTTGTCCCAGGAATTTTGGGGCAGGGATGCCAAGCCTGGGCTGAGACTCCTACTCTGGGCTGGCTGATTCCTCCAGTCTAGCTTGGATTCCCTGCTCTGAGCTGGAACATCCCCCAGTCTGAGCTGGACCCCAACATTGTACTACATCAACCCCCATTCTGAACTGGACCTCTGTTCTGGACTGGATGACCCTCTAGTCTGAGATGGACCCCAAGAGTGGGCAGGATTACTGCACAGTCTGATGAATCCCCATTCTGTACTGGACCATCTGACCTGGACTGCATCTGAACACCCCCCTTTTGACCTGGACTCCATCACTGACCTGAACCAACGGCCATTCTGAGCTGAACCCCAATACTGGGATGGGCTACCCCACTGCCCTGCTCTGAGCTAGACCCCTGCTCTGGGTGGACCATACTCTCTTGTCTGAACTGGGCTACCCATCCCCCCTGCTGTTCCCCAGGCTCCCAGCCCAGGGTTGTAAGGGAGGGGTTTCTAGGGCCAACCAGAAGTCCAAAGCCTTTTCCTCTCCACCTGCTCCCCAAACCCTACTGCAGCCTCTCCCTGACTTCAAGGGCAGAGTGCCTGGAGAGTTGCTATAGTAACAGGGTTCAGCCTCACCATCGTTGAAGTTGGAAGCCATCACTCAGTCTTCCTCTCAGAGCACCAGAACTATGGTGGCTGGAAAGGCTCAAGAGACCTGCTGCACCAGCTTGGCTGCCCATCCCCAGATACCTGCCAATAGGGGGAGCCAGGAGTTTGTGTGTTTGTGTGTGTGTGTGTGTGTGTGAGGTGGAGGTGGGGTGTGGGGGTGGCAGGAAGAGAAACCAAACCTGGGTCAGTGGGTGAAGGGAGGGGCAGACAGGACCCTCAAGTTTCTGTAGGCTGATTGGGCTAAAGGAAAAAGCTACCTTGGCAAGACCCTCTTGGGCACCCATACAACTGCCAATATACAGGTGTTTGACCCTCTTGTACTCCTGTAGGCAGCAATTAGAAGGCAGCAATTCTTCCCATGGAAGGACTTCTTGGGGGCACTTCTTACTCTCAGAGCCTGGATCTGCTTGTCCCTAGGGCCTGAGGGTGGGGGCTCCCTCTCACCAGCCCTACCCCTTCCCCCATGGGCCAGCTCCCAGGGGTGCTTTTGGCCAGTGCCAGCCAAGGCCTGAGCCCCACTTGGCTGCCTATCCCAGAAGCCTCTTGGGGCCATTGCCCTCTCTCAATTTCTCCAGCCTTCTCAGAGCCAGTGCTAGGTCTTTTGTCTCTGCCCTCTTAGCATTTTGCCCAGGACCCTGCCAGTGGCTTTGGCATCTTTGGGTATGGACTGCCCCCACCCCACCCCACGGCTTGTTCTGGATAGATCCCTGCTCTCTTGGGAAGAGGCTGACACTGTCCTGCCCTGGTACCAGATGGTAACAGGGGGCTGCAGGATGCCTAACTAGTGCCTACTAAGGCTTGGTCTTTCTCCTTACCCCAGTATGGCTGGCCTCTGGCAGATGAAATTCAGGTGCCCCCTGCAGGCTGGCCTGGCTACTGCCCCTAACTCCCACCCCACCCTATCCTAGTTACAAGAGGGCAAATTTTGTCTAACTCCATCCTTTCAGAATCAGAGTTCCAAGCGAAACGGGGCTTCCTTCCTTATCCCATTTCCTTCTCTGGGAGCCCCTGCAAGTCTCTGGAAGGAAGAGACAGCTGAGGGCATTTCCCAGTGTGTGACATGGGTCCCATTTATAGGGCATGAAATGATTTTAGGAATGTTTCACTTTTCTAGTCACATTGTGTTTCAATGTTTAGCAGAGAGAACATAACTGGCACAGCAATCCCATGATTTCACTTATATTACTGCTTAGGATGGGTCAAAGTTTACATCTGAACAAAAGTAAGTCAAAATTTTTATTATTTTAAATTAAGAAAATATAAGTGAATAGAGTAAAATTCAGGGAGATAAGCTGAGAATGTGTAGGTTGGGAAATTCTGGGGTCCAGGAAGTTAGCTGGTAGGCAGATCTGGATGTGAATCCTGCCTCTGTGATACCATTTATGTCAAACTCAGAGTCATTCAGAAAATTCAGAAAATAGCCCATTATGAAAATCACTCAAGCAGACAGATCTATGAAAACCATTAAGCCTGGCATATGCTAGATGCCCAATAAATAGTGGCCCTATTTCGCCGTGATGGTTCACTCCTGGGTGTCCACTCTGCGCTCTAAGAGAATTAGTGGTTCCTTTTGGAGCCTCTGATCTTTTTCCCTGTACAGCTCCCCCACCACCACCCCACAAACACAGATTGCCTGTGTTTGATATGCCTTGAAAGTTTTCCAGGACTAGGTCATCTCCCCAACTTTCAACTGAGCCACTGCAATATGTAGCTGCCTGCCTCTACCTTCTACCTCCCAGGCCTCACCTGCTGGGGGCCCAGACCCTCCCTTTGTGCCTAGTCCCCTCCAAGCTCATGCCCAGACTTTTTTTGGTCACTACCCACCTGCTCCTCAGTCATCAAGTACTCAGCTAAAGGCACTTGCCTCCGTATCCCCCGCCCGTTGGTGACATGTCAGCCCATAGCTGCTCAGCTACTCTGAGTTCTGCCATTTGAATCCATGTGAGAATAAAGTTCCTTGGCTTTCACGTCAGGGTCTTTCTGGGAGGAGGCAGTCAGGGGACTCAGACACTGGGGTTTAAGGCCATTAACTGGGAAAGGCATATTTAGATGTGGCCTCCCTTTTCAGCTCTATTTCTGGGTAATGGGAAGTGGATCCTACCTGAGGTCCAGCTTTAGGCCTGGAGTGATGACAATTTAAGAGCTGGAGGAATTGAGGAAGGGGATTGAGGCTATTTCTGAAGGCATTTCCAGATACAGAATCTCTTTCTCTAGTTGGCTGTAAAAGGCCAATATATTTTTGGGGCTGAGGGGGGAACAAGCCTCTTCCTGGCTGAGCCTGGGGAATGATCAGAATCTATCCCTTGGCAAAGCAAGTCATTAGATGTCACCCATTACTCTCCCAGACTGCCATCCCCTGAGTCCCCTTTCTCACCACTCCAGCTCAAGCTGAATGAGACTTGCTAAGCTCAAACACTCTTTATCTCCCACTTTACATCCTGAGCCAGGACCGGGTGAAGAAGCCCCGGAGGACTAGGTGAATGATAGAGCCTCAGTTGTGAACAACCATTTATTATTGAGGGGCTCTCTAAGGAGCCTAGAGCTCACTGAACAGCAGGATATGGAAAGGGGCTCTGCTGCTGCCCTCTAACCCCAGCCTGGGAAGGAGAAAGAAACAAACCCAGCAAGAACCACTCAAACTTGGCTTTGGACACACTGAAGCAGTTCTCTAGGTTCATAAACAGTCTGCTACCCTAGCAAGGGAAAAACACTTGCTGGGAGGAGAGAGCACAGCAGAGAAGCAGAGTGACAGAGTGACAGGATGAGAGAGGGGCAGAGGGACCCAGAATGATCCTGTCTCCCATGCCAAGTGACACAGAAGAGAAAAACAATGCTTGAGGTGGCTCTGGGAAAAGCTCAAGTGGGCAGAGTGTGTTTGAAGGGGGGCTGTGGTAAGGTGAAGAGGGAAAGGGCAAGAGAAAGATGGCGGGGGCTGAAGGGGGGAGGGGTGTGGTCACCAAGTGGCCAAGGTTCCTATGGGATGGAGGCAGACCCCCACAGCACTCCCAAGACTGGCAGAAGCTTGGGTCCGGGTCTGGCTATGGGTCCCATCCATGGAAGAGGTAAGTGAGGAAGTGAGGGGATTAGAATCCGGGGAGAGGGTCCAGGAAAGTAGGGAGTGACGGCCCCATGTGGGGCCCCAGCGGTCATACGTGCCATGGTTGGCAGTGACAGCTGGGTGGGGGGGCACAGTTTTTGCAGTGGGGGGCGGCCTTTGGCAAGGGGGCCACTACGAGGATTCTTCTGCGGGCCCTAGACCCTAACCTTGGACAGGCAGGGGGAGGGGGCGCTGGGGGTAAGCA